CAAAGAGATGTGTCTTTAATCTAGATTTAAACAGAGAGAGTGTGTCTGAACCCCGAACGTTATCAGGAAGGCTATTCCAGAGTTTGGGAGCCAAATGCGAAAAAGCTCTACCTCCTTTAGTGGACTTTGCTATCCTAGGTACTACCAAAAGTCCAGAGTTTTGCGACCTTATGGAACGTGATGGGTTGTAGCATCGTAGAAGACTAGTTAGGTACACAGGAGCAAACCCATTAAGGGCCTTGTATGTAAGTAATAATATTTTGTAACTGATACGGAACTTAATAGGTAGCCAGTGCAGAGACTGTAAAATTGGGGTAATATGATCATATTTTCTTGACCTGGTAAGGACTCTAGCCGCTGCATTTTGAACTACCTGTAGCTTGTTTATAACTACTGTAGATGAGGTAAAATAAATTTGTGCTTACTTGAAAGTGGAATAATTCTGATTAAATGTTAAAAAAAAATCTCAAATGAGAATAATCTTGATTAATAATCAAGGTTATAATTTTTTGAGCAAAATAATTGTGATTGTCACCTTAACTATTATTGTAAAGCTTTACTATGTGTGTTCTGCATACAATAAATTTAAAATACACACATGTAATGAGGCCAGAGGGAGGCTGATTTATTCTGTTCTTCTCTATTTATTTACTGTGAAGTTTCCTCTCTGCTCTACTTGTTAATCAGGGATTTAACATGGTTATGGCAAAGCAGCAAGAGATTTTGTTGTTGAAAAGCAACAATTAATTAACGCTATTCACTCCATAAATCTCTTAAAATGCATAGCGCCTATTATAACAGACTGCTTTCTGTTTGCTAATGATCATCAAACAGCAAGGTTCAGCATTTAGTAAGCATTAGCAAAACGCCTCAGTCCAACAGCCCTCAGAGAATGTTATGGCACATCCTCTTTTATAGCTTTTACAATTCCAATAGTGCTGCCTGGCCATTATAAACTGCCTGTAGCCAGGAAGATCATTTCCTGTCTATAAGATCATCTAAATTTAGGCCCAGACCAACAGAAACTTGAATAAAAATATGAAAATATTTGTGCATGATCTGAAAACAGGTTAGCTGCCATATGTTTGGATGGTGGTCTAAGGCAGCAAAATGACTAGTGTCCTTATATCACAGGATAGTTCACCCAAAAATGAAAGTTCTGTCATGATTTACCCACTCTTATGTTATTCCGAAACTGTATGACTTTCTTTATTCTGTGGAACTCAAAATAAAAGATTTTGAAAATTGTTTTTGTCCATACATTGAAAGTCAATCACAAAAAAATATGGTTTTCAAAATATCTCTGTAAGAAAATCATACAGGTTTTCAATTAACTTCAATGAGCTATTGTTTTAAGGAGACCTGCTGTATATGTAACAAGCCTGAGCAAAATTAGAACCAATAGTTCAATAAGTGCTTAGAAATGAAATGTTCATTTTCACATGTGATATTAATTTCTTCTAAATCTTTTTAATTGTCAAACATCCATAAATGAATTGTCTCGAAGACACTCCCCCTTAAGAACATTGATTCTATGTAGTCATTCTCCAGCTAAACACCCAGTTACTCACAACCCCTTGCGACCAACATGCCACAGTTGCAGCCCCTTCCTGTTAACATCATTGTTCAATCAATCCAATGAGACAGACCCTGTGACTCAACACAGCCTCATTCTACTCTGAGAAGATTAGGGTGAGCAAGTCAAGTCACCATTATCTTTACATAAGCCACAATCACATTACAGTTGAACTGCCTCCCGCAATCATACACCAATCGATATAATACATGACCGCCAGATGCGTGCCTGCAGTTTCAGAGTGAAGGCTCAAGGGAGTTTTCCATGGAGATAGATAAACACTGTCACACAGAAGGAAGGATACATTTGAGTTTTGTGCTTCGTGAGAATTATGAACAAAACCCTCAGGCCAAGAGCTGCCGCATAAACCAGCTCCATTTATCAAGTGGGACAACCACTACAAAGAGACAAATAACACACATAGTCCATTATGGTGCCAAATGTGTCTTTTTTATGAATGCATTTTTGTGAATATTACATATTCACAACATAATTGACTATTTTACATATTATAAGATTAAAGAAATGTGCCATAGCTGTTCTTAATGTTTCATGTGATTCAGTTTGTTTCTTTACAAAACCTAGAATTTTATTATTTCAAAATAATATTAGAAGATTGGCAGAGGCTCATTTAGTATCTTTTTATATTTTTCCCCTATTCCCCTCTCAAATTGTGATCCAAAGCAGTGTGTCATCACATATAATGAGACCAATTACCACCCTGCCATCTTGGTTTTGAACGACTTTAAAAGCTAACAGAAATGATGCATCTGGCTGAGCTGAAGCGATTAGACTGAGGTGTTTTGTGCTGACTGAGCTTCAGATGGTACTGGAGGTAATGAAGCAATTTATGGTCAGTTACCGGTGGGTGCGAGTGTACGGGGGGGGGGCGGCGTGTTCTCGTGAAGTGCTGGAGAAAATACACTGGAACTCAGAGAATGACAAGGGAACACGAGCTGTTGGAGGCCAGCTTTCTAGTGAAACACTTAATAATTTAGTCATTTAAATTGTATATATTTTTTTCCCCACATTTTTGCAGCCTTTTGTTAAACTGCTTTAAATGGCTTTATTTCCACATCAATCTACACTTCATACACCATAATGACAAAGCAAAAAACAGATTTGTGACAACTTTGCATATTTATTTTTAAAAATGAAAAAGCACTTGAAATTTAGCTCCAGTTAATTCCAGTTTTGCTGGATGTTCTTTGAGGTGTTTCTGAACTTCAACTGGAGTTAACCTGTGGCAAATTCAATTGATTGGGCATGATTTGGAAAGGCACACACCTTGTCTAAATAAGGTCTAACAGCTTAAAATCATATCAGAACAAAATCCAAGCCATGAGGTCAAAGGAACGGTCTGCAGGATTGTGTTGAGACACAGATCTGGGGAAAACTACAAAAAATGAATGCTGCATTAAAGGTTCACAGGAGCATGTGGCCTCCATAATCCTTAATGGAAGAAGGTTGGAACAACCAGGACTCTGGCTTCCTGACTAAACTAAGCAATCAGAGGAGAAGAGCCTTGGTTAGAGTGGTGACCAAGAAGCTGATGGTCACTCTTATTGAGCTTCATGATCATACTGTATATGGAGATCGGAGAAACTTCACTGCAACAGTCCACCAATCTGGGCTTTATGGCGGTGTGGCCAGATTCAGTACTCTCCTCAGTGAAGACACCTTTGTTGCTTTGTGGTGTATGAAGTGTAGATTAATATGGAAAAAGGTCATTTAAACCAGTTTAACAGAAGGCTGTAGCCTCCTGATGGTGATATATAAAACAGTATAGCCCTGTGTCTCACCTTCTCTTTGTTCTGTTGACGTCCTTCCGTTTTGTTTCATTTTCATTCATTCTGACATGTTCTTCTACCTGTCTTCTCTATCCGTACCCTGTAAGACCTGTAGTGAGCATCGGCCATAACGAATGACTCATCGTTCAGTAGTAATGTGGCTTTGATCTGGTCCTTGTGAAATGGATGTGTCTCTTCACGTTATTGTAGTGGACAGTCAGTGCGCTGTATAGCATTTTTTGTGTGGAGGCCTGTGTTCAGCACGTAGGCTGAGTCTCCCAGGCTTTTCTGAAGCTCCTGTCTTAGTGAGTTTCCAAGATGCGCTTTGATCACCAGTGACATGCTGTGCTCTGGCTTACATGGGCTAATCAATGTGCACAGTAGCCTTACCCTGCCCTCTGACCCCTCCATACTCCAATTAGCCGTCATTCTGTGACCCCTGCTGCCTACCTGCCAGTCACCTTCGGTCCACACCAACACCGCACGTCTGCCGTCTGTTACCTCCTGCTCTCTCTGCCCCACTGCCTCATGCCCTGTCAATCAGATTGAAACTTCCCCTTTAAATTCAGCTGGTCAGACTATCAGACCACACATTTGCTTTGTCTTGCTGCTTTGTCTCGTAATGTCCATCAGGAAGTACAGACGAGCAACAACGATCCCCAACCCATGTCAGTACGGGCTCCCTCTCATTCATGCCCACAGCGGCTGATGCACTGAATTATTAGTTCTGTTCTGACAGCTCCGCTGACACTTTAGAAATTAAAGGCATTTTTTTCCTGCTGCTCAAGGACAATATTTATTTTCTACAGTTGTAAGCCCTGCATGAAAGGAAATTTACTTTTTATATGAAATGAAAAGTGTGTGTTTTAATCCTGTTAAATCTTTCTGTTCATTAGGACGGGAACTTCACCCAAGCCCTGTCTGGAAAGGCACCGGAGAATGCGAAGAAAGTGGGTCAATCTGCATTCGTAGACTTCGGTGAGTAGTGGCCTATCACTGTGTGCGGCCCATTTGTGTTGTGTTTAGAGGTGGCATTACATGCACACACTCCAATACAACCAAACACTGGCTGTAATTTCTGGGATAATTCATGCATAATATGCTCAATTCTTATGCTGTTCAGAATCTGAAAGTAGCCTTGAGTTTCTAACGGCAATACATGCGCAACACAGAGATTCAGTGCACACACATGGTGCCAAATTGAATATTAGCTCCTGTAGGATCTTATTAAATATTAACAATACAAATTTCCCCTTTCCAAAAGCATCCCACTGATAGCAGGGATGGCACTGGCAGTGAAATCTCACATAGCATAAATGATTAATAAGCAAAGTGAAATTGACCTAAGATTGAATATGTTCAACTGAGCTGCGTCTCAGGAGCTTGGCCTTTATATTCAAAGCTAACTTATCTGACCAAACGAGCCCTTCCTTGCACTCTTTAATCTGTTTCCTCTGATCTCTTTCTCTTGTCATTTTGGAAAATGTCACTTCAAGCTGTTATAGTGTTTTCACAGCAAAGCGCTTCAAAGGATTTGAGTTTTAAGCAGGATGGAGGGTTTCATTTGACTCCCAATCAGTCAGGCTATTATGCTTTTTGAGGACTGTTGGGATCACGGTTATTATAGTTAACTGAAATGAAAACCATAAAAAATTTACTTGAAATAAAAGAAATATTAACCAAAATAAAATAAAAAAGTTAGCCTTATTTCATTTCAGTTAGTTGCCAAAGCAACATTTTTCATTTTAATTAAGTTTACGTCGATGTACTAAAAACTTAAAATGGGAATTAATAAAAACTATAAGACTAAAAACTATTAAAAAACTAATAAAATGACAAAAGCATAACTAAATTACTAAAACGTTAATCAAAATTAAAATGACAATAGAAATTCTAAAAATAAAAACGTCTTAATAGTTATAATAGCAGTTATAATAGCGGCTAACATAATGGGTTTTTTAGCAGCTGTTGAATTTCTGTTATCTCATTGTCTTTTATTCTTAATTTTCTGCAATTAAATTGGCAACTACTGCACCCTTAGATGTAGTACATATTTTCGCTTTTTTTGTGAACATTTTTGAGGAAAAAATCTCCATCAACATTGATAGAATGTTTAGCCTTGAAAATGTAGCTGACAGTGTTGACATCATTGAAATGTTTTCATACTGAATTGCAGCTGGCCTTCTTTCTTGCATTTATTTACCTACTGGTTCATTGGCCGCCTTTTGAATTCACCTTATTTTTGGCATAAGAACGGATGCGGACAGAATATGCAAGGCTTCCATTATCATTCGCTTCCAGTTATTGTACCTGTACAAAAACAGTCTGTAATACTGCTTTACATTGCAAATTTTTTTTAATCATATTATTTTAATGTATTATTATAATCATAAACACTGGTTTGTAGTGCAAATAGTTTTCCCGTTTACTGCACTTTGTTATAATTCAACTTTAATAGTCACAGAGGAAAAACTGACCATCATACACTAAACGACTGAGGATCAAACACCACCAGACTTTAAAGTTGTTCTTATCACAACAAACTCCCAGAGAAACATGTGCCTTGTGGCTAGGAAACACATAATAATGAAAACAATATATGTTCTAAAATTTGCTCAAAATATCAAACATGTTTAAAATCCTCCGCAGGGCTCGCAAAATCGCTAGCCCGATGTCCCGGGGCTGTTGTGTTTTCCAGTCGGGCTACCAAAATGTTTCACCACGCTGCCCGACGGGCTATTTTGAACAGTGATATAAAATTCCTTCCTTGATTTGCTTTGTTCACTAGCTTGGAGGGGTAAAACGGATAGTAGTTGATAATTTGCACGTGTTTCTAAGTCTTGCTGATTTAAACATTCAAGTGTTTTAAACTATTCACGAACATTCTGAGCTGTGTGCACAGAGAGCCATGTTTCAGACAATGCGCGTACACAGAATTGATTCCTCTTTCACGTATCCTTACATCTGAATGAACACATACACTCAAAATAACTGTCTCTGCAAGTATTCTCGTAAACACAGTCGGTTATGTCTCAAGTGAACGTAAACAGTGGAGAAAGAAATCTCAAGTGCATCATTATATTGGATCCGTGCATTCGGTCTTAAAGGGGCAGCAGCCTATAAATACCTGCTGTTCCATAAGCGCCACCTGCTGTCAGAGAGTGACATTTGCGTCTCATTCACAAAGCTAAAATCAGACCATTCTGTTTTTGCTTCAAATTTTGAAATTTGTCTAATTGCAATGTAAATAGCATGTATTTAGCATTTTTGTTTGGATCGTGATTAAAATTAAGTGGTTGCCTCTGATTTTAAATGGAAAAAGCACAGCCAAAGCATTAGTTTGTTTATATGAAGAGATTTATTGTATTTGTATTATTTAATTATTTGATTTAGGATTTGTTTTAAAATTTCAAATTAGTTTTATTATTTGACATATTTCAATTTCACAAAGAAATGTGCTGCATTTTGTTGGAGAAATAATAAAAGGACACCTTTTCATTTATAATTGGTCTTAAATCTCATTTTGTTAAAAAGAAAAATTAGTATTAAAATTAATCAGTATCGTGAATCGCATCGCATCATGAGTTGAGTGAATCGTTACATCCCTATACGCTACTAGTTGTTGCTGTGGTATCAAAGAAGTATTCTGCTATTTAAATAATAAAGAACCATATTTTTTTTGCTCATCTGCAAAATG